TTAGGTCCAGGCTGTGTGTTTCGGGCAGTGATATTACAAAAATGCTCTTGTAGCTTTCTGCGTGTATCATAGCAAGGGGTTCATGAGGTTGGCATGTCTGATTGCTGGTGAGGTGTACCTCAATCAGCTGGTCAAGATGGTGTCTGACCAGGTACCATTTGTCATTGTAAAATCATTTTCTTACTCTTCCCTTTGTAATTGACAAGAACCTTGGGAGAGATACTTCCAGACTATGCAAATCTTATTCCTTCTCAGACTTTGGCCAACTAATTTTAGCATCCATCGGTGGAGTTTGTGAGTTACTTCTGTGACGTCTGCCTGATGATGATTCTCATTCCCTCTTTCCTTCTGTTCATCAGTAGGAATTCATTGCGGGAAAGAGCTGCCGCTTCCTCCACTTATTTATTTATTATATCTCCACAGGCTCACAGATATTTACCCTCTTCTATTCTCTGTGTTACAATCTTTCTTTTCTTCCTGTTTTTTAGAGAGAGCTTTTTGCTATAGGGTGCGTGTGCTCACCAGAGAGACGATAAGTGAGAAATCACCCCCCCCCACACACACACACACCTCCCAGGAGGGTTGGCTGTGCCACAATCCCCTGGGTCTGGGCCTTGAACCACAGTCAACTACGTGGGAGTCCAGTAATGTAACCATTATGCCATCTGCTGGTCCCCGGATTACAATCTTTTAATACCATTTCTTTTGTGCACATTGTTCCAGCTTTGACCACACTTTAGGGTGACTCCTATTTCTTCGACATGTTCTCATCTTATCTGTAGATTTTCTTTTACTTTCTGTCACCACAATAAGTTCTGGATTCATCTCATTTCTGCTGTGCCCCTGCCTTGAAATGAACCACTTCGTTTAGGAGTTCCCTCCATTGGAGAAAGGCATGGTAGATAGTGGAGGGAAGATATAGACTCTCCTGCCAGTGTGCCCACTCCACCTATTATCGGCAAGAGCAGGCCAGGCAATGGGGCATCTGCAGAAGGAAGCGGTAATAGAGTTCCGAGTCCTCAGACCAGGCTGTAATATCTGGTCTAGGTCGGGTATTCGAGCCTGGTATTCAGTTCTGTGTACTTCCCTTGCCGAGGGATGTCACCAGGGCTGGATAGCAAGAGGATTTCATGCTAATGTTAATGATCGATTGATCATAGCCTAGAGCAGGGGTCTCCAACCCCCAGGCTGTGAACCAGTGCTGTCCTGGGGCCTGCTGGGGACCAGGCCATGGACTGGTGCTGGTCCACTGGACTGTGCAGGAGAAGGTGGGCTGCGGGCGAGTGAGCAAGGCTTTGGATGTGCTTGCAACCATGCCCCAGTGTTTGCCTTTCGGGCCAGGCTCGGCTGTCGGATCAGCAGTGGTATCGGATTCTTATGGGAGCGTAAGCCCTGCTGTTGCATGATTCTTTCACTATATATCGTGATGTGGTTGTGGTGGAAATGGGGTGTATAGTGGATGTGGTGTAGTTGGGTCATTCTGGGACCAATGAGTACCCTACCAACCCCTGTACATGGAGGAATTGCCTTCCAGAAGGCCACTCCCCACTGCTGCCAGGAAGATTGGGGACTGCTGGCTTAGAGGGCTGTGTTGAAATAGATTATGAGACTTCATCTGGACTCAGAGGCCATGTGTGTAAGAATTAATTAGTAATATCTTCCGTGAGTATGAGGAAAGGGGTTAACACGAGTACCTATGGGTGGCCCTGGATGGTCCAAAGCACATTGTAAAGATGAAGTGGGCACTTGTAGGCCTACATGGGAATGAATATTTAAAATCCAGGGCCAAGGTTGGGGGAAGTGTCATTAGCGGTTTTTAAACTTTTTAAAAATTGTGCTGTTGATCTTTCTTGTATGGTTCCAGTTGTAGAGTGTGCCATGTGGTACTGGAACCACGTGGATTACCTGGGTTCAGATCCTAGGTCAACCTGAATGTATTTGTCATGGTTCTCTAGGGAGACAAAACCAACAGATTTGTGTAGATACACAAGAGAGGCTTTACTAGGGGGATCAGCTCACAATTATGGCAGCTGAGAAGTCCTACAAAGGGTGGTCTGGAAGCTGGAAATCCTGGGATTCTGGGAACATGGGCAGTTCAAGTCCAAAGGCGTCAGGGGTGAGAAAGCTAATTCTATAATTCACAGTCTGAAGTTGAAAGTCTGAGAATCCAGCAGCTGTGGGTATATCCTGGAGTCCAAAGACAGAAGAGTCTTGAGTTCCGATGTCTACAACCACAGAAGCTGGCTCTCTTGCTGTTTCTAAAGAGACCCATCTGCCTTCTGTATTTACTTTTCTCCTGGCCCACTGTTGATCAGAAGGGATCTGCCCACCTTGGGGCCCGATCTTCCCCCATGCTAATCCCTTCTGGAAACACTCCCATGGACACACCTAGAATAATGCTTTTTCTAGGTATTCTTTAATGCCGTCAAGTTGACAACCAAAACTATCACAGTGACCAGATTAGGTGCTGCCACACATGCCTAGGTCCCCGGTGGCTGGGAGGCTGGAGGAAGGGTCATGGCATGGTGAGATCCTGTCAAAGGTCTCTCTCTTTCTCTCTCTCTTATGAAAGAATGACATAATGGAAACTGAAAAAAAAATCTACTGAATTATTATGAAGGCCAGAAAAATGCACCTTATTGCATATAATCACATATTGAACTATATATGAACTTAAAAACATGTGAAAGGAATATTACTGTCTTTGCATCATACCAAATAAGTCTCCCCAAAGCTACAGAATGATCCATTGGCTGGAGGAATATGTTATATTAGTTGAACTGTAATTTTTCAGGAATTGAATATTGATTACACTTGTATACCAGGAGGACACAAGGAATGCATGGGTTGCTATCAGCCAGGAGAGAGTCTTGTACTTGGAACCGTGAGGAACCTGGGTACATGGTGAGGATGCTGAAAGAATGATTCTGAAATGGGCTGTCAAGAATATATGAATGATTAATACCCAAGTGCAGTGACGAGAATTGGAATGTATTATACATTTGATGGAGCAAGAAAAGTGAGGGGAGGCTTCTAGTACTTACAGTGTACATGGATTGTTTTAATATCACATGCATGAATAGACACTAGCCAGATCCAGTAAGAGGTTGTCACCAAGACTCATCCATTTTTCTTACATTACATTGCTTGTATCCATATTTCCTTTTCATTTCCTCTGCCTTTTCTCTAGTTTAAACCTCACATTTCAAGTCATGGCTGTTGAAATGGACTTCTAATTACACTCCTCATTTAGCAACATAACTGTTTAACACTGCTTGGACTTAGGACCAGTTCTCCAGCACGGAGAACTCTCTTTTGCAGTCTCATTCTCACAGTCAGTTCGTATTCACTTACTGAAGCATTCACAATCATGCAAGACGACACATTCTGTTTATAAAGCCGTACTTTACTATGCACTCATAGTAGTATTCAGAATGAGTCAAAATGATTACATTGGGTCTACGTTATTGTGTTGTTGTGGCATCTCTTATGACTTTCTGGTTCTTATAATTAATGTATGGTTTTTTTTGTAGGCAGAATAACATTATTCTACCACAGTGCTGCTAGTTATCTCATGAAAAATACATACCTTATGGCGCCATGATGCACCGCAACACAACTGCCTTTAAAGTCCTCACTTATCCACCAATTCACTTAATGGCCTAGTCATGGGAATGGAACTCAGTCATTCAGTGAGGAGGACTGACATCAACGTGACCAGTTGTCCCCAAATCAATACCTAAAGCCACTAGGTCAGTGTTTCTAAAGATCACTCTTATATCCCAATCCTTTATTCTCCTTCTCCCTAAACCCCCCTCTCCCATTGCCTGGAATAGTGGTTTCCAAACTGAGTTCTGGGACTATGCGCGCGTGCGCGCACACACACACACACACACACACACACACACACACACACACACACACACACACACACACACACACACACACACACACACACACACACACACACACACACACACACACACACACACACACACACACACACACACACACACACACACACACACACACACATATGCTCCAGAAATAGAAATTTTTACTTTACTCAACCATTGTCTTTCCAGCACCTAATGCAATGCATGAAGCAGAGTAAGTATCCAATGAATATTTGTTGAACGAATGGACAAGATGACTCACTGGTTGCTGGGAAATGGAATTAGAAAAACAACAAGCAAAGAGGCTGCATTCTGGGCCTTCTCTTTCCTCTCAAGTCAACAGAGCTCTGTTTTCATCTGCTTATTATATCGGTATTCCTCTGTAAATTTTGCTTGAAAACAAGTCCTATTGCTTTAAGCATTGGCTTGAAACTCAATGAACTAAATAAACACGTTTTATCTTTTACATATGAAATTCAAAATCTCAAATTAATCTTTCAAAGGCAACTGCTACTACTCTCCAAATGTAGAGAATATTTTTTTTCCTGCCCAGCAACCCTCCCCCAGACCTCATGGATCCTACGGCAGCCTATGTTCATTTTTTATATGATTCCATTCCTAAGAAACAGTTTTTGACCCAAGCTTGGCTGATTCTAATGCCTTGACATTTAGGCCAGAGGTGATTTATTAGGGGTGGGGAGGGGGGAGGTCCTGATCCTAGTTGGGCTAGATTATTCTTGCCAGGGATTTAAATCAGAAATGAAGCAATAACAGTCTATTTACATGGCTACTGCTACCAGGAACTCGTCACGCTCAGGTTTCCTAGTATTTGGTGATATGGGATAGATAGAAGCAAAGATACAGAGAAAAGGAGAGATGAAACACAGAACGAGAGCACCCTGTTGGCACATGAGTCTCCTACACGTGGCTCAGGCTGTTGAAGGTTGGGTTCTTTAGAGGCGGATCCTGAAATGGCATTTAGAGTGTGCAATACCCATGGACAAGAGGGAGAGAAAGCAAGACTGGACAGAGGGGAGAATTGAACTCAATGCGTGTCTAACAAAGCCTTGGCCAACCCCATAGAAACCTCTGGGGTGTACTTACCTCATGAAAATCGTCCTTCATGTGCTGAGAGGGCCTGGCCTTCACATTTCCATAGTGATAACTTACTGGATGTAGGATGCCCAGGGAAGGGCATGTTCTTGGGCAAGGCAGCTTCCACATCTGAGGCAGATCCTGAAACAGTGATAGCAGAAGGCTTGTCTGATTACCAAGTGGCCAGCGTCTGGGGAAACATGGCCCTTCAAAGGGGTTCTGGGCAGCACACTCACCTGTCCACCATAGAGGTATAGAGCTAGTCAATTAAGTCCAACTGCTTCTACGTATGGTCAATGAAACAAGAGGCAGCAGCCGAAGAAGAACATTTATTTCTATGGCTGGGTTACAGGGAGAAAGCCAGCAAGCAAGCACCGCCAAACTGTCTCAACAAGCTCAGCATGTGCTCAGTATTTAGAGACACAAGCAGGTGCAAATCACTCCTCACTGCAACTAGTCAAAGACAATCATTTTCCCCTGAGCAATGATCCTGGTTTTTGTTTTTCTTCAGATACCCACTCCTGGTTTCTCGTCTGACCTCAAACAGACCTCCCCATGACTCAGCACTTGGTCAGATGGTTCTCCTTAGAGACCTTTTTAAATTTCAAAATGGCTGCAGTCCTGCTAAACCTCAAGTTTCCTGCTTCAGAGTCTCACCTTCACCCTGCCTTTGCCTTATCTTGCCCAATGTGGTGGCAGTAATAGAAGGAGTCTCTGATTAAGTCATGAGGGCTCCTCCCTTGTGAATGGATTAATGTCCTGAAAGAGACTTGCGTGTGTTCCCTGCCCCTCCTGCCATGGAGGACACAGTTAGAAGGCACCATCCATGAGCAGAGAATTACCCCTCACCAGGCACTGAGTTTGCTGATGTCTTCATCTTGGACTTCCCAATCCCTAGAACCATGAGCAATACATTTCCTTTGTTCATGAATTTTCCAGTCTAAGGTATTTTATTATAGCAACCTGAGCAGGCTAAGGCATCTACCCACTCACGCATACAACAAATACTCAATGAACACCTACCATATCTCAGACAGGAATCTAAATCCTGCCTTTCACCAAGTTTCCCATTGCTTTCAGAAAGCCTTCCCCTATCGATAACCTCTCCTTGGAATGCTAACGACACTCAATACTATTCTGAATCCCACTGGACCACTGGCCTCTAAAAGACCTATTGACACTGTCCGATGGAAAAATCTGATGAGACCTGTCCCAATCTCAAAGGAGGTTGCTATGACATTGCAGTGTTCTTCATGAGACCTTCAGTGGACATGTCTTTCCCATGTCGGCATCAGCAGCACGCATGGTTCTGACTAACTGCTTGGTTTTTATCTCACTACCCTGTGAATTATGCAGCTGGCTTAATTTCTATTTTCACCTTGGCCACTGAAGAGCTCAGGTTCCATTTAGCCTCCTAGTAAATGTGTGGCATTCCATGCATCACTACTGTTGCCTCCAGGTCCTTGAGACTGAGGGCATGTTATCTTCGGTTAGCTGGAGCTTCTTAAAAATTTAACCTAAAGGGGGAACCAGTAGTTAGTGTAATGGCTATGTCGCTGGACTCCCACGTAGTCGACCGTGGTTCGCATCCCGGACCCGGTGGCTTAACACTCACGCCGGGTGCGTGTGCCCAAGATCCCTAGAGGAGAATGGAGGAGAAGGGATTGCAGCGTGACCATCCCCCCTGGGGGGGTGATTTCTCGCTTTCTGTCTCTCTGTCTCTCTCTGTCTGTCTGGTGAGCGCACGTGCCCTATAGCAAAAACCTCTCAAAACAACAACAACAAAAAAAAAACAAAACTAAAGGCCCTCGGCTAGGTGCATTGTCTCCTTGTAGCCTCATTCATACTTTATCCCTACTATAAACACAGTCCCCATTTCACATGTGCGTGTCCTGTTGGCCTTCTCAAAGTTACCTGCTTTTATGATTCCTCGTCTGTGGTTTGCATTTAAAAAAAATTAATAGTATGTTTCATTTACCCTTCCATTTCCAAAATATCATTATTTCAGCTTGCAATTCATGTCAAAAGAATTACATCCCTACTTCCCCCCTTGGCATCCTGCGCATCAGAGTTCACTGAGCTCTGGGTTAATGCTTAGGACGCCTTAGATCTGGTCCCAGTCTACTTTTGACCAGTCCTGTCACCTTGAGAACATCTTTTAAGCTTGTTGAACCTTAGTTTCCTCATCTGTGACATTATGTTAATAACACCAAGACTTCCCTCTTCACAGTGTTGTGTTAAGGATCAAATGGGTTAATGCACGTGAGTTCTAAAAAGGAGTGAAGACGTCGAAGCCATATGTCTACTACCATGACCTCGCTGTTTCCATTTTACTTCCAAGCCTATATTTGCATTATGTAAAAACTTATTTATAATCTTTTTTATTTGTTTGTTTTGTTTTGTTTTGGAGAGGTTTTTGCTATAGGGCGCATGTGCTCGCCAGAAAGAAAGAGAGAGACAGAGAGACAGAAAGAGAGAAATCACCGTCCAGGGTGAATGGCCACGCCACAATCCCTTCTCCTCCATTTTCCTCTCAGGATCTTGAGCACGCACGCACACGTGCCCAGTGTGAGTTTAAGCTACCTGGTCTGGGACTCAAACCACAGTCGACTACATGGGAGTCCAGCAACATAGCCATTAGACTAATTGCTAGTCCCTATAATCTTTTTTTATAATGTTAAATTGTTTGCATATTTTAAGGCGCCTCATACCCTTTTTGAAATACAGTGTAGAATAAATACAAATATCTACATAATCAACATTGAATAGACAATTACTACTGTCTTGAATATATTGGAGGAATTGTGTAAGGGATATATTGTAGAGAGAATGTTTTATAGAGCAATATATTACATTGTATCATTGGTCCAGGCTTGGCATAAGCACTTAGAAATACTACATTCTCTGCTAAATGGGAAACTTCTTTACCTCGAAATGTCCGTCGCACTCAGTTCTCTAAAAGGGAGAGCTCACTAGGCGTTGCTGTGGAGTCAGTGCCAGGAAAGATTTCGCTTTGCTGTCAGGCCTGTGAGTGTGGGGTGCAGCCCAGCGTGTGGCTCCCTTTTATTTTCTTATTTGAAAATCATATTCTGTGCAGTCCTTTGCTCAGGATGATTTGTAGCCTCTGCTCCTGACAATCATGCAAAGTGGGGCACACCCACCCCATCCTGGAGATGGTGAAACCGTGCTGGGGGAGAGTGCTGCTGACTGGAGACAAACAACCCCCTGGAGAGCACAGGGCCCACCACCATCTAGGCCCACACTTCCTGTTAGACCTTGGGAGAGTAAATTCTCTGAGCCTCAGTTTCTTCATCCATAAACTGGTGACAATAATAGCAACCACAGAACAGGGTTAAAATAATCATACAAGTACTAAATTGTACAGCCCTACGTTAAAGCTCAATTCGTATTATCATTGTCAATAAGCTATTCTCCACCCACACCCTTTCATTTGGATAAGTTGCAGCCCAAGCTTTGCTCAGAGAAAATATTTTGCATTATGGGAAAAAAGAAACTTTCAAAAATTCTTTCCGTATAATGCCTGGAGCCTGTTTTCTGAACCCAGAAATTAAATATTCTTATGGATTTAGCAAGCTAATGAAAACACAATTATGTTACACTCGACCAAAAAAAGGACGTGTCTTCTTGCATCTGACTTTAGAAAGCTGGCAAGACCAGGCCATCTATTTCTTACGCTCATCAAAACTCTGGCCCCGCTTGAGAATCAGGATTCCTGTGCAGACTCTGAATCCAACAGTCAGTAAACTGGGCTTCAGGAAGAACTCCATAAGGAGAACGCCTTCTTCCCGCTCCCTGCTCACTAATCCCATAGACTCCACCCAGAAACCATAAAAGGACATGCATCTTGTACCTGTTTTATTCTTTTGCCTTTATTGTGTACACATTAACATTTATAATGTCACTCAATCCTTTAGGACGAAGTAGTCCTCCTTCAATTTAGGAAGACCCCCATTACAGGAAACAAGTCTAAAGCCAGAGTATGATTTAAGCAGTGCTATAAAATATACCTATCCAGAAGTGTCACTTCCACTGCTGAGCTGCAATTCCTGGTGCTGGACCAGAGATCTGAACTTTGGACTCACTGGTGTTGCCTCTGCAGCAGCATTGAGCAACGTGTACATATTTCATACTGTGTATACTGCATTAGTATGCTGATTTGCTCAGGTGTTTGGTCCACTCTGTTTTAAGGCCTATAAACTTTGCTCCCGCCACCTCTTCCACCTCTTCCTGTCCCTCTCTGCCTCAGTGCACTCTGCTTCAGCCATCCTGGTCTTTTTGTGCATGGATCAGGCCAAGGTAGTCCTGCCTCAGGACACTGGCACTTGCTTTGACTTTTGCTTAAAATATTCTTTATGTGGCTGGCTTCCATCATACAGATCCCAGACAAAATACCACCTGCTTTGAGAAGCACTTCCTTACCACTGCTCTGAGGTAGCACCCCTTCGATAAACCCCTCTTTTTATTGCCTTCATGAGCCAGAATGCTATGTTGCCATGATTTATTTTATGGAGGTGGCTGAGTGAGAACACGGAGGGACTGATGTCTTTCATACATCAACTAATTACTTAATTTTCCAAGAGGAAGGAAACACCACACCACACAGGTCACAGAAGAGGCACCAGCTCTTGGTGGAAGGCAGAAACAGGAAAGAGGGATATGTAGGTTAGAGACATTTTTGTTTTTAAGAATTATTTGTTTAATTTAATTTATTATTATTGTCTTTTAATTTGACCAGAGCGAGATAGACCAAGAGAGGGAAAGTGAGAAAGCAAGCTGCCAGCCCTGGAACTCAAAGCGCTGTCACCATGTGGGAGTCCAGCGCCCCAACCACCACACTACCTGCTGGCTCCACTTTCTTGAGGATTCCATGGGAAAGGCAAGGCAGGAATGAACACCAAGATTGGCGAAGCTTTAAAATTTTGATGGGTTTGGGCTCTATTCATGGTCTCCAGTTGCCTGAAAACTGGCTGTAGGACGATTCAGATCAGGGAGGATATTGACTTGGTGTGTTAGGGTTAC